TGTGTGTGTGTGTGTGTGTGTGTGTGTGTGTGTGTGTGTGTGTGTGTCTTTCAGACTCCATGTCTGTCCCCTTGTCCTGCTCTCCCCAGGAAGAGGATTGGAGAGATCAGTGGCTGGGCTAACGGCTGTAAGGAAAACAGGCCCAGGTGTAGTTATGAGACATCAGAGGCAGGAACCAGGCGGTACGTGTTCAGAGAGGCATGACGCTGGGGAGCAAAGGAAACAAACCGTCCCTGGGCTTCCCGGGAGGAAAGGCAAGGCGAGATGGGGCAGGGAGGGGGCTGAAGCCTCTTGTGCAAAACAGAAAACACAACTTGCAACAGAAAGCAACTTGCAAGAAGGGAGATGCAATGAAAGGAATGGGGTGTCCTTAACTGCTGAAGTTCAGAACTTAGGAAATTCCTTTCCGTGCATGTATTTCTCTAAATGGGTAAATACACTTTTCCCAGATGTTTATGCAATGGAAGTATAGACTTGGAGACACACACATACACACACACACTAGTAATCCTTGGTGAGATGTTAAGACTTGGGAAAAAGTGCAAAGAAGAGCAACTAAGATGATTAAAAGCCTGGAGACAAAATCATATGGAGAATGGTTGCAGGAACTGGCTTTGGCTAGTCTAGAGAAAAGAAGGACTAGGGGAGATATGATAGTAGCATTCCAATATTTGAGGGGTGCCACAAAGAAGAGGGAGTCAAGCTATTCTCCAAAGCACCTGAGGGCAGGACAAGAAACAATAGATAGAAACTAATCAAGGAGAGAAGCAACCTGGAATTAACGAGAAACTTCTGAACAGTAAGAACAATTAACTAGTTGAATGGCTTGCCTTCAGAAGTTATAGGTGCTCCCTCACTGGAGGTTTTTAGGAAAAGACTGGACAGCCACCTGCCTGAAATGGTCTAGGGGAGTATGGTGGCTAACCTTCTTGGGCTCCTGTGCCGAAAACTGTGTGCGTACTTGCACACTCGCATGCCAGCACCCAGAAGGCAATGCACACACCCCACTCCCTGAGCATGAGATCCCCCCACTACCCCCTTACCTGCACTGCACATGCATGCACCTCCCAGCTGATCTTCGGGCCTTTTTCGGCCTCCCAGAGGCTGGAGGGAAGCCTCTGCAGCCTTTGAAGGCCGAAAAATGGGCCCGTTTCATCACTTCCGGTATTTCTGGAAATACAGGAAGTGATGAAACGGGCCTGTTTTTCAGCCTCCAAAGACTGCAGAGGCTTCCCTTGAGCCTCTGGGAGAGCAAAAAAGGCTCCAAAATCTGCTGGGAGGTGCACACATGCACAGTGAGGTACGTTTGCCTGGGGCTTGCGTGCCAGCACAAATGGGTCTGCATGCAGGGATTGGTCTAGAACAGGTCATCAACCTTTTGGATCTCAGGGGCCACCAAACTCATACTTTTAAATCCCGTGGACCACTAATATGAATTTTGACTGACAGTGGCTTGCTAACATTGGTGGGAAAGTCGATCCCATATGCCATAGCTGTAGTAGTCACAGGACTGGCCGTTTGGTCATCCCAGAGCAGCTGCTCCTACACCCGGGTGCACCGGCTTGCCATGGGCTGGAGGAGCAGCTGCTCCGGGATGACCAAAGGGCCAGTTCTGTGACTACTGCAGCTCTCGAATATGGGACCAGCCTGTGGTGGGGTTGGAAATCTCCACTGTGGGGGTAGCACGTGTAATGTGCAAATTTGCAGGTGGTGCCATGTGCAAAAAGCAGCGAAGCTCTAACCGGCCAGAACGAGGTAATGGTGCTGTTGCGGCAAGAGGGGGGCGGTGGCACAGGTGGGCTGAAGCAGCGATGGAGATGGCTGGAAAGTGCAGGAGAGCCGCGCTACTTCCATTTGCGCGGTATCAGCATTCCGCCTTCACTCAAGGAGCCCGGCCCAAGTTTCCCGCGCTGCTCACGCTTCAGAGCTTTGATTCCCAGGAACAGGAGTTCGGCCAAGCTATCTGCAAAATTGTCTCTCTCTCTCTCCCTCTCCCTCTCGAGGAGCGTTCCCAGAAGCAGCGTGGGAAACTTCGGCCAGGGCTCGAGAGACAAGAGTGACTCCACGAGCGCTCCTCAAGAGAGAGATTTTACAGGTAGCTTGGCCAAACTCCTGTCCCTGGGAGTCAAAGCGCTGAAGCAACCTTCTAACAAGCAAAGTTCAATAAGGAAGCCAGATTCAATTAACAACCATGTTACTGCGGTGATTGACTTAACTGTGGCAAGGTTGTAAAATAGGGCAAAACTCACTTAACAAATGTCTCACTTAGCAACAGAAATTTTGGGCTCAGTTGTAGTCATAAGTCAAGGACTACCTGTATTTGTTTATACAGGTAGTCCTCGACTTACAACAGTTCATTAAGTGACTGTTCGAAGTTACAATGGCACTGAAAAAAGTGACTTTTGATCATTTTCCACACTTAACGGCCATTACAGCATCTCCATGGTCACGTGATCAAAATTCAGATGTTTGCCAACTGATTCGTATTTATGACAGTGGCAATACCCTCGGGTCATGTGATCCCCTTTTGCAACCATGGGATTAAATTAACAACTGCAGTGATTCGCTTAACAACTGTCGCAAGGAAAGTCGTAAAATGGGGCAAAACTCACTTAAGCAATATCTCACTTAGCAAGAGAAATTTCAAGCTCAGTTGTGGTCATAAGTCAAGGACATATAGCAGGAAGGCAGCATTTTCTTCTCCATGTTTAAAACTCCTGCTTATCAGCCATAAAAAACTAGAGGCTGGTCTCACCGACCCCCTTCCTACAATCTGAAAATACTTCCCTGCAGACGTGAATTCTTGCATGTACTCTCGCCTGAGTGTACGCGCACTCTCTCTGCAGGACGAGTGAGGGTAGATTCTCGTGACGCTTGTGCAACGGGAAGGGTTCTCGAGGAACCCGGAGGTGGGGGAGGAAGGCGAGCAGGCCTTTTCGGAAAGAGGCTCCCCGCAGCTGGAGTTAATACAAAGGGGTGTGTGTGTGTGAATGGGCCCTTCTCGCCGTCTCCAAAGGCAGCGGCGAAGCCTGGAGGGAGGAGGAAATGCGCGGCCTTCACAGCCCTGAAGGGGGCAGGCAGGACCAGCTACTAATTGCGAGAAAAAGTCGGTTTTACGTGCCCGCCCGCACACAGGCCTGTATTTGTGTGCGTGTTTACTGAGGAGAAGCTGCTTCGCACGGGGATCTTGAACCCGCAGGGGAGCTTCCCGCAGGGGAGCTTCCCGCAGGTCCATCCCAGCCTCCGCCCCTTTTACTTCTTCAGGGGCTACGTACGAATTCAGTAACTGGGGTTGAGTTTTAAAAAATAAAAACACCAACCACCCCGCTGCGTGAAGCACGTCCAGCATTTCTTGCGAAAGCGCCCTCAGTAAGGACCGGATTCTTTTGGACTCTCAAAAAATCAGTCTTGGGATCCTCTGGATATACAGAAGCTCGCGCTGGACCTTGCAGAAAACATCCCGAAAGTCTCGCCGTCCTTGGTTTACCCTCGACGCGTATAAAGACGCCCGTTCCGCTTCAAATAGTAAAATTAATCGGCGGGGAGAAATCAAAAGCTGCCCTTTTTGATAAAACCATAGACTGTAACGGGATGTTGGCAAAAGGACAATCCGTGCTTTGCCTCTTGGCTCAAATCCCCAACCCAGTGTTGGCAATTCCACACGTGCAGGGTTTTCTGCGTTGGGTGAAGGCGGCAGAGATTCTACACGTGCATCCCCGAAAGCATGCAAGGAAGGGAGGCGTGTTTATCTTGGCAAAGAAACCCTAGCTTAGAGAAGGGCTGTAAAGCACTTGTGAAGCTATATACAAATCTAAATGATATTGCTAGAGTCTACTAGACAGCCACTTATCTAAAAATGCTATAAGTTCTGCTGCTCGAGCAGGGGGCTGAACTAGACGACCTCCCAGGCCCCTTCCAGCTCATTCTATTCTACTTTCTATTCCTCTTTGTCGTCCGTCCCCCTCCACTTTCTGCAGAAGAAGGCGGTAGTTATGACGAGGACAGAAGCACTCTGCACATGCTCGACTGCTACTCTACACCCCCCTCCGCCCCTCTTATTTGGCTGCGCAGGAAAAAAAATCAGGCGATGGAAGAAACGCTCTGCGCCTGCTTGAAAGTTAATCGGCTTTATTTGACGCGGCTGCCTTTCCCTGCGCTTGGGGGGTGGAGGGGATGCGCAGGCTGGGGCGAAGCCACTTTGCACATGCTCGGAAGTCCTTTGTGTCTCTGGCTGGCTTTTCTCCCGGAGGAGAAGAAGCAGCAGCAGCGGAGGCGTTGCACGGGTTCCGCGGTCGGCTCCGCCTCGCTTGGCTGAATAGGCGAGAGACTCAGCTGATGCAAGCGGCTGCCCGGCCCTCCCTTCCCCGCCGCTGCATATATATATAAGCCAAGCTCGAGGCGCCCCCGCCGTGGAACCTCCCTTCCCGTGTCTTCGAGCCGCCAGAGGCGGGCTGGGTGCCTTTCCATCAGCAGTGGCGCCAGCGCTGCGGGGCCCGAGCTCGGTAGGCAAGCATGAGAGTGTGGTGGGGGTGGGGGGGTGGACGCGAAGGGGGCCGAGAGAGAAAAAGACGGCTGGCAAAAATCCTGCATCTTCCGACTTCATCCTTGCAACGCTGCCCTGCTTTTTTTGGTGGTGGTGGTGGTTGCAAAAAGAAGCAGCTGCGCGGCTTTCCTTTAAAAAAGAAAAAAAGCTGCATTCCTGAGATATTCTTGCACCGGGAAGCGGGGGGAAGGGCGAGAATGAGTGCCCCCCCCGGCGCACTCCCCCCCCCCAAAAAACCTCGACCGACCGCTCTCGCAACTCTTTTCCTCCCCCTCCTCCTTTTATGCGGCTGCAAATTTCGTAGCGTTGCAAAGAAATAAAAAGGGTTTGAATCTGTTGCAAGCGGGAGGAGGGGGCCTTGCAGGGTGGCATGGAGGCGGGCTGGTGGGGGGGAAACAGTTTTAAGCCCCCCCCCGATTATTTAGCACCGAGGAGGTTTTTTTTTCTCCCCCCTCTCCCCTCATCCTTTCCTGGAGGAATAATGAAGGTCTTTGCAATGGACGGGCTCTGGAGTATATCACTCGGCTCCCTTTCTACCTTCTGTCCCATCTTCTTCTTAGACGAAATTCATAGATAGGAATCGGTTTTCTTGAGATGTGGGGCAGCTTAAGTGTCTCCCCCTCCCCCTTAGCTCTCGATATCATGCCGGGTATTTCCCCCCCTCCCTTAAGTATATAATAGAAAATGAGAGTGATCACGCCCCCTTCCATCTAAGATTATCCGCGGCGGAGTGGGGGTGTGTGTGGAATACTTGGATTTTGAAAGAAAACGCAGTATTGCAACAAAACCCCCCCACTCCCATTGGAAATATGGGGGTATGGGTCTACCTCTAAGAGGTCGACCTATTGCTGATACAGAAAAAAAAGGGGGGTGTTGGAGCAATTGGCTTGGTTTTTCTAGATTTGCTATCACTCCCGCCCACCCACCCCCGCCCCGAAAATTTCCGGATTTCTCCCTTTCCAGAAAATGCTACATATGTGTCCGTATGCGGTCTTATGTATGTCCTCCCCCCCCCAGTCATTATTTTGCAAAATCGGTGGCTGTATTTTCGGTCAGTCATTTTGTAAATAAGAAAAAAAGAGGTGTGTATATTGTACACGCCCCCTTCTTTTACAATGTTCCTTCTCTCCCAGCCCCTGACGTCTAAATTTGCTCGAATAATACATAACGTTGCAGATCTTCTAAAGGAACCAAAATAATAATAATAATCTCCCATTGGGTGCATTGCTTCACAAAGGAATACAAACCTGCTGCAGTCTACTCACACCCCCTTCCATTTACTTTCCTGTGTTAAAAAAAAAAAGGTCCCTGGGTCCAGCAGATCACAGGAGACATTTGTGGGGGTGGGGTGGGGGGTTGGATGCCTTCTGTTGTATTTTGAAGAATAATTTTGGGGTATGTGGCCCCCTAAAAGGATGCAAGGATCATTTTAAAAAGATGGTTCTTTTAAAGTGCTGCTTCGTATTGGGAAAGGTCTGTGTAGCTTCCATTGTAATTCTCACCCCTAAGAAAGAGGAAGGTTGCGACTCTGTATGAGTGTGTGTGTGTGTGTTGGGGGAGGACAGAATGCACTTTCTTTAAAGGAGGGGTGCCTTTTTCTGGGTCTCTTTCTAGCTCTTGTTTGTCGTCGGTGTTTATAGACTTCATATGTTTCATTGTCATATTTTGGTTAGCTTGATCATTCTTTTTATCAGCTGTTTAATTAGCCAAAAATTGTTCTATGAATCCTGATATTTGCCTCTCCCCCCACCCCCCTTTCTCTCTTCCAGGGTCTTATTCAACCAATCCGGACTAGCTTCATCCAATTTTTTTTTCTCTCTCGTCCCTTCCTTGTTTCTTTGACTATTTTTCTCCCATTCTCTTATTTGGAATATTCCTGCATTTTTAAGATCTCAAGATGGTGCAGAAGAAAACCGAGCTTAAAGGCTTCCATCTTTCTTTTAAGGTACGGTGTGACCGTTTCATTGTTTTAAAATGGTATAAAATCAGATGAATTTCTTCATGTTTTAAATCTTTGCTCCTTTGCTTTTGGTTTGTAAAAAATAAGCCTGTGGGGTTTAGCTTTATCAAATGGCAGCTAGTTCTGAATTGCAGGGAGAATGTCTGGCTGTTGTCAGTAAAAAGAGGAAATGGGGGAGAAACTAAACTTTTGTTGGTTGTACTTGCAAGTTTTGTGCATCACACTAAAGAATCTCTGAAGAAGTGAGGTAGCTGTCCTTTGGGAATACATAATATTTCCTAAAATATTTCCAACAAGTAGAAATTTACAAGTGTTTCTGCAGGCTTTGGCACAAAATGTTGCACGTGATCTGGTTTTCCAAATTTCTTGATATTCCCCTCCTGTTCTAGCATATTTTGTGACTGCTGAATAGGCTCTCTTTCCATTGAGCTTTTTGTAGTTTTTTATAAAATATATTTAAATTTAATGGACACCTTCCCAGTATTCAATGTTGTTGATACTCAAGGTTTCTTGGTTTTGTACAAAGGAGTTGGTGTTCTGTCACTTTACATTTGAAGTAGTACTGAATTGGGGCATATGGTGCTTAAATTCCTGGGGAAGAAATGGAAATAGTCAGGATTCCCAAATATAGGTAGTCCTTGACTTATGACCACAATTGAGCCCAACATTTCAGTTGCTAGGTGAGACATTTGCTAAGTGAATTTTGCCCCATTTTACAACTGTTCTTGCTACAGTTAAGTGAATCATTGCAGATGTTAAGTTGGTAACGGTTGTTGAGTGAATCTGGCTTCCCCATTTGCTTGTCAGAAGGTTGCAAAAGTTGATCACATGACCCTGGAAAACTGCAACCGAAAATAGGAACCAATTGCCAGGAACCTGAATTTTGGCCACATGACCATAGGGATGCTGCAAGGATAGTAAGTGTGAAAAATGGTCATAAATCACTTTTTTCAGTGCTGTAGCTTTGAATAATCACTAAATGAACTGTTGTAAGTCAAGGACTACCTATAGTCTCTATGGTTATGAACCATTAAGTCCCTACTATAAACCATTGGTATAGTTCTTGCCAATACTTTGCAAATACCTGGTGCCAAAAGTGGTACATTATATTTTCAAAGCACAGTCAGTCTATCCCAGTATTTCTCAATGTTGGCAGCTTGAAGACATGGGGACCTTAACTCTCATGCTGGCAGGAGGAACTCTGGGAGTTGAAGTCCACACATTTTCAAGCTGCTAATGTTCAGAAACACTAGTCTTTGTAATCTTCCAACTCCATCTTAGACTTTGATATTCAGAATTTCCTGTGTTCAGGTTTGGCATATACGAATGAGTGTTTCAATTTAGGATGGCATTTGTTTACATTAGACTAATTCCTAGTTTGCTTAACTATGTATAAGACCAGTTCTGTGCTATTAATCATGGTTTCCAAATCCAAGTTGAATTTGCTGAATCAAAAGCTGTTACTTGATAAACTCAGTCCTGACTTCCAAGTAGTTAATATTTTATTTTAATAAGAACTAAGTTTGTGGGGAGGGGCAGGAATAGAGAAAGTTAACGAACAATAAAGTTGAAAAAGCAAATTGCAGATTTTAAAGTGAAATAAAGTAAAGGCTTGTGTATGTGTTGAATAGGAGAAGAAAAAAGTATGTTAAGAACATTGCCCGCACAGATTGGATTCATACATTCAGTTAAAATATAGTATGATTTGCTTATTAGCAATTACCAGCACATCAGCTTTGTAAACCCTGGCATGTGGGTTAATAAATTAATATTACTTTAGCCATGTATAGTTAGTACAGTGCAGTTAATCAACCATGGCTTAATTTGTTGTGTGAACACAGCTACTGTGTTCAGTATGTGCTCTTAATATGATGTGTGTTTAGAGATTATAATTTTGGCTACAAATCAGTTTAATTTATACTTTTCCATAGCAGTGGGTTTCAGTGTGCCTTTTCTGGACTCCACAAGAAAAATCCTATCTTGGATTTTAAAGAGAATATATCTTTGTTTTGTCTTGCTTTTGAAGAAGCTTGACGTAAGCATAATCCTAGGTTGTGATCTGCAGTTCTAGCCCTAATGTGGCTATTGCAACCTCTGATTTTGCAGAGACACGTTTGTAATGAGGGCAAGCTCACCTGTTTTTTTTTTAAACAATAATGATAGTTTGCAATTGTTCAAACTCCTATTTCTCTTATTCATTTTCCAAAGAATCCCTTACCTCTTTTTATTATTGTTGGAGTAACAGTGGATTGGAATTTTCTGTTTGCCCCCCAAATGTAAAGATAAGCTTTTAGTTCTTTTGAGTGATGTAAAGAAAGCTATTGCTGACATGTCCAAACATGCCTGAAGATTCGGGGGATATACCAAAGCTCTGTGGGTAGCTGGGGAAAAAAAAACACGATTGGGTTTGAAGAATGCAGATTGAAGGCCCCACCTTGTGGGATACGAAAGAGATCTGGCAAAATAAATCAGTAAAGTGATGGAAAACTTGTGTGAAAATAATCAGCATTTATTCATTTATTCTGTGCTCCTACATTGTCGGGTAGAAATTCAAGGTGATTTATAGGTATGATGTGCGTGGTTTGTGCTTGGTGGCCTTTTTGAACAACAGAGATTGCAACAGTGCAATTGTGGGCTCACCCGCCTGTCTCTTCCAGCTAGTTGCCTTGTTCCCATTGTTCAGGTGGAGTAACTGAGCCTGAGACAGCCTCCCAGCCAGTTCAAAAACCTGTCCTGCTTATGAATTTTACCCTGCAGGGATGCCAGTCAGCACTCTGCTCAAAGCATGGGGTTCAGCCTATGAGAATTTCTCCCCTATCCTGTCAGTCCATGGGCTGGCTGCTCCTAATTATGGGTGTCCTGGTTGGCAGCATGTGAGGGCAGGCTCTGTTGGGTACTGAGGTAGGGTGATTGGGCTGTCTCTACTTTTTAATAAAAGCTTCTGTGGCTTAAGTTGGGTTTGTCCTTCTTGAAAGCTGGGCAAATGCTTGTCTTCATCACACAAGCTGAACTCAGAAAGTATATAATTGTACTTGGAATGCTTTTTCTCTTTGTATCACTGAGTGTTGTATCTTATGATTTGTGATTGTATTTTATGATCATGATTTATCATTTGTTGCTTGTATATACACAAAGTTTATGCACTGGAGACAAATCCTTTGTGTGTCCAGACCAATAATTCTATTCTTTTATAATTCATTTGTAGAATTACAATGTAATTCTACATTTGTTTGCAAGCTGGCATCCAGGTTAAAATAGCACCCATTTGATTTATTTTATTTCAAAGTTGCTAGTCCTGATGGGGCACTTCTGAACAACTGATGACTGTCTAGAATTGAGCATGGGGGGCAGCCTTGGAAATTTGCACAAATCTTCCTAGAATCCAAATAATGTTCCTTTGATTGTTAGGCATGTAGTAAGAGACTATCCTGGTTTACTGCATATAGTATGCAATATATACATTATACTGGTTTACTACTACAACTGTAGATGGAGGATATAGAGACAACAGGATAAGTCACGTTCATCCCAGGTTCTCTAAATGATTTTTGCAGTGTAATTACTGGTGCTGCTTTTGGGAATACTCAGAAAACTTGCTTCCTCTTAGACCAGAATTTCCCAGCCTTGAAAACTTTAAGATGCATGAACTTCAACTCCCAGAATTCTGGCCAGGGAATTCTGGGAGTTGGTCCACATGTGTTAAAGTTGCTAAGATGGGTAAACCCTATCTTTAGATTAAGGTTTCATTCAATAGGCCATTTTAGATTTTGTTGGTACTTATTAAGCAATCAAACAGTTATGCTCTGATATTAAGTTTCAAGACCCTGGCCTATAGACAAATCTAGCTTAAACTCCTGCTACCCATAGTTAGGAGTTTGGTAGTTAGGGTTCAAATTCCATTGCTTGTGAATTTTGACAAGAAATTGTTTCTTGTAGTTTTTTTTCCATGAAGACTGCCTTTTACTCTTACAACAACCTTGTGAGTTAGTCTACAGAGAGATTTGAGAGTCAGAGAACAAGTTCCCTTCTGCACTAAGTGAACTAACTTGGTTGTGCCATAGCTTATTATGTAGTAAAACTCAGCTGCTGTGGCTTATTCAGCCAGTATAAACTACAAGGACCTACCAGGGCTTAAGACTGATGTCTTGGAAATATGGTTGAATGAGAATTTTCAATCCTTGCTCCTACTCAAAATCCAAAGCCCAAGCTAGACGTACCTCAGAAAGTAACAGACTTCAGAACTGAATTCAACTGAATTCCCCCCCCCCCCCCCTTTTGGTCTGTGGCCTTTCAGCAAATAAATAAATAGATGATGTAGGACACTAATGTTCTTGTTAAAGGAAACAATGTTGTGTTAATAAGTCATTTCACGTCAAGGAGATCCAGGTTCAAACCCTTTGCATTCTGTTAAGCTTCCAATCAATTTTAGCCTACCTAACAAGAGAATAAATAAAAAGGGACAGGAGTTGCAGAGTTAGCTATGATGTCTGTAATTCCTAGGGGAAAAACTACAATGAACATTTATTTTCAGACCCCCCAATTACTCCACAAAAAGAAAAAATAGGCAGAAAATAAATTTGAGAATTGGAATCCTGATTCTGGAAGAAGCAAATCTGTTTATTTTCCTTGTAGAATGAACACACATTTTTCCTCTTCTCTCCAAAGACTTTGCTGAATTGGGTCTCTTGATGTCCTTTTTGCAAATTAAATCTGCATTATATAATACCCATTCCCTTTACTCTGGTTTCTGAATTTGATTGCGGAATTTGGTTTGGGTTGGCTGCACAGAGCATTTTGGGCACTAACTTGAAATTTCTTGCTGGTGTTTTTCCATCAGGTTTATAATTGCTCCAGTTGCCTTGTGGGTATTACCAACCTGTTTTTACTGCCTAACTTTAATTTAGCACTGCTGTGTTGATTTTTTTCGCCTTTTTTCTTTTTTTTAAAAAAAAAGCCAATCAAGGTAGATAGTTTGAGGCATTGGTTGTGGTAGATGTATGCGTCAGTGTGTTCAAGGGTGGGGAAATTTTGCTGCAAAATTCTTGTCCGGTGCAGTGTTTTTGTTTAAATAGCACAGCTTCCTGGCATGGAACCAAACAGTGGTTTGGTTTAAAGTTCTTGGTTTGTGAGTGTGTTGTGGTGGAGAGCAGCTGGAAAGAAAAGACTGGGGGGCTGGGAGGACCTGAATGGATGTGCTTACGTTTTTGTGTGTCCTGATGCTGCCACCCCCTTTTTTTTCTTTCTTAAAGCCGCTTGTGTTGATGTAACTTCTGTTGTACCTTGTGGTTTGGATGCCAGTGAGGCCCTGAAGGGGGGGGGGGGGGGGGTGGAGCCAGTGTGTTATGTAAGCACCCTTTGCGTTCTGCAATGTTGGGCCTAGCTTTTCCTTACAGGAGAAAGAAAGCGGATGCCAGGAAAGGAGAAAAATAACCACCCAGAAATATTTTCTGGACCCCTGAGACCTCTCCAGAGAGTAGCAGGTCTTGAAGTAGGAGAAACCTTGCTGGGTCTTTCGTTTTAAAAAATACGTATTTTTTAAAAAGTAAGTCCCATATAGTATCTTGAGGCTGCACCAGGAGGCCAAGCAAAGCCTCACAATTGCAGTTTGATGGCTGAAGGTATCAACATTTGAAGCAGGGCGTCCAACCTTAGCAACTTTAAGACCTGTGGACTTCAAGTCCCAGAATTCCCCAGCCAGCCTATGTTGGCTAGGGAATTCTGGGACTTGAGGTCCACAGGTCTTAAAGTTGCTAAGGTTGGACGCCCCTGCTTTAGAACAGTTGTGCAGACTGAATTAAAAAGCATTAAAAAGCGATCAAGCCAGGATTGCAATTATGACATGCAATTTTGCATGGGGATTACTCAAGAACACAATGTACTCCATATCACACCCCCTGGCCCAAACGTTGTTGCCTTATTCACTTCTGAATCTTGCTTCTCTCTCCTGCGTTAAGATTGTATCCTGCCTCTCCACCCATAAGGATGTTTTTTCTAATTTTATATTTTAAAATATATTTTATATTTTACACCAGGCCTTTTAAACAGTTCCCTTTCTGGTACTTGTCTTGGTTTCTATTTTATCTTCTGTAATAATTATTTTAATCTCCAACCAAAGCATTATGAGATTTGTGGACTGTTCTGGTCAGCTTTTTTCCTGGCTTAGTGGTGCTCATGCAAATCTCGTGTGTGTGTGTTGTGTTGTATTGTGCTGTGCTGTGAAAGCAATATGAAATTTCTAGATAACGAAGCAATAATTCCTAAATATGTCTATCTGATACTACCGTGTCTGGACTGGTGTCCTCATCAACAAACCTATTAGTGAAATTCAGAGTTATTTATTTATTTATTCATTTTTCTGCGCAGTTCTGCCTCACCTCAGCAGATTTTGTAAGAATGTTTCTGTGTAGGTTGTGAGTTAATATGTTTATTTATTGACAGGAAATCTTACTGAACTGGCAGTGCCATACATATTCTTACGCACTTCCACAACTTTTTATATAGATTTTTCAATCAGTAGTGAAATCAGATTGGGATAAGGTTAGTGTGTCCTTTTCCAGTTTTTTTGGACATTGGGCAACAATATATGAAAGCTCTTAAAACTTGGCTAGTTCTCCTGTCGGCTCATTAACTCTTACCTGTATTAGAGGCTGTAATGAAGAGATGGTTGGGTGATTTACAGAATTGTTTCGGGCACTCAAGGAGTCCCTTTTATTGACAAAACTAACGAGATGTTTGTTCATGTTTGTATATGACTGGAGTACAATTATTTTTTAATACATGTCCTCGATTTACAATTAATTGTTTAGTGACCATTCAAAGTTAGAGCAGTGCTGAAAAAAGTGACTTATGACCATTTGTCACACTTACGACTGTTGTAACATCCCCATAGTCAGGTCATCAAAATTTAGTTGTTTGCAACTGGTTCATATTTATAGTAGTTGTTGTGTCCTGGGGTCACCTTTTGCAACCTTCTGACAAGTAAAGTCAATGGGAAAGCCAGATTCATTTAACAACCGTGTTACTAACTTAACAACTGCAGTGACTCACTTAACAACTGTAAAAATGATCGTAACGTGGGGCAAAATCCACTTAACAAATGCCTCAACAACATAAATTTTGGGCTCAATTGTGGTAAGTTGAAGAATACCTGTATATTTATTTTTTGCTTTTAAAATAATAATAAGCAAAAAGAACACCAAAATATATGCATTGTCAAAAATATACAAGTGCTTAAAACTAAGTGTAAAAATACAAGAAAAGCAAGATACAGAGAAAAATATGTTGTTGGAACAGTAAATAGTTACAATTCTATATACAATTATGTAATACACTCAAGAGTGTGTGTTTTTAATGCACTATATCAGTGTCATGCTTATAAATGAGCCCCATATTTTCTTATATTTATCTGTACAAAATCTACATCTCTAAGCAATCATAGCATGTGTCATCAGCTCTTCAATCCATTGAATGAATTTATTCATACATTTATCTCCTCAATATTGCAATATCAGCTTGTTAGTTATAATAAGGGCCTGGAGAATCAGTTTAAATTGTCTAGTTGTCAAATTCCATGCACTAGCTATGTATTTCAATAGATTACTACCCTCTGAAAGTTTTAGGGGTTTCTTGCATAGTCACATTTTTGTAGTTTATTACTTTCTCCCAAAAGTAATAATAATAATAATTACTATCTCTTTTTCCTTTTGGAAATGTTGATCAAGGGTTAGCTACATGAAATAAAAATCCTTCCATGTAAAAGTGTAGCTAAGTAAGACTTGATTTTTCCTTGTTGCCCTCGGAAATGATACTAGTGAGCTGAAGCAGTTAAGGCAATGTTCTTCAAACTTAAACTTGAAGATGTGTGGATTTGAGCTCCCAGAATTCCCCAGGCGGATGACTGCCTGGAGAATTCTGGGAGCTGAAGTCCACACATCTTCAAGTGGTCAAGTTTGGAAATCACTGCACTATGTTAATTGTTTTTATGCCACCCAGAGTCACTTTTTCTATGATGGGCAGCCATATAAATTTGACATATTAATAAATAAATATAAATATGTAAAGAGAACAAGCTGGAGAGAGACCCTACCACCTGCTTCTGTGGAATGTGCAGGTGGGGTGCTCTTCCCTTTCTGGGGTTCTCCAGCTAAATTCTCGGTCAGAATTCCAATTATTACAATCACAGCACACCTGAACAGTTCCCAGTTGGGAAGGGCTGGGTTTGGGGTGTAGCAAACGCCAACTGCTTTCCCCAAATGAACCATTTGATGTTTGATAGTGGCCTTGGAGATTTCCTTGAAGCTTATCTATTCTAAATAAACCTTTTCCTTTGTGTACATTTCGGGATGGCTCTGGGAAGCTGACAGGAGGGTGTTCCAGCTTGTTAGACAAGTCTGCGGCTTGTTCTGCCTTATAGCTTCTTCTTAATGACCTTCTTTGGGGAATGGCCCTTTCTCGTTATATTTCTTCCTCCCTTTCTTTGGCATGTTTGAATCTAATTTGTATGTCAAGGTTCCCAACTAAGAAAGAACAACTAGCTTATTTCATCTCTGCAGATCTAATCCCCAACATGTTACTAGTTCACAGGAATGTCCATTTATAATATTGTTTCTTACTGAAGTCAAACTTTTAAACTGCCCAATAACTGCAACTCTCTCAGCCGTTTATGATAAAATTGATTAAAAATATAATCCTAATAAAAGCATGTACTGGAAAATGAAAAATGTGATATCAAAACTATACAGATAGTCCTCGACTTACAACCGTTTGCTTAGTCACCATTAGTTACAGTGGCACTGAAAAAAGTGACTTACGACCATTTTTCAGAGTAGTTATGGTTGTAGCAGCCATTAATCAAGGTCACATGGTCAAAATTTGGGCACTTGGCAACTGGCCTGTATTTATGACAGTTGCACTGTTCCTGGGGGGTCATGTGATCACCTCTTGTAACCTTCCCAGCCAGCTTCCAACAAGCAAAATTGATGGGAGATATTAGATTCCCATAATGACTTCATGACTCATTTAACAATTGCAGTGATTTGTTAAACTGTGGCCGTAACATGGGATATAACTCAGGTTAACACTGCCTTGCTTAGCAATGGAATTTTTGTGTTCCTTTGTCGTAAGTCGAGAACTACTGGTATAAACTAATCAAATCAGCACATGCGTCATAGAAAAATTGATTAAAATGCTATTGAACGCCAATTAAAAAGTCTGGGAAAATAGAAAAGTCTTTACCTGGCACTGTACTGCTGCTAACTGGTTTATCGATTGAGCCTCCCTGGGTTGGGCCTTCTGTAAATGGAGAGTCCCACTAGAGACGGCTTTACTAGGCAAAGAAAAATATGCAAAATGATTTGCAGAAATAAATGAAAGGATTCTCTTCCTCCTGCAGTGAGAAATGATTTAAATATGCATGGTAGCAGGCTGGACTATGCATGCTTATTAGAAGAATTTTTTTTTAGTGGGGTTGTGTGTCTTTTAAGTTACACAGGGATCTGTTGCAGGTCTTTATTAGATGTTCGTAACAAGTGACTGTTCAGAGTCAAGTTCAGTAAGCCAGAATTGTCAAGAGAGCATCCTTGACAGCTTTGAGAAATCATAACTGAAACTGACAGCAGCTACACTCGCCTCTTTTCCAGCAACTGCTTCTGATCCAACTGGTTGTAGAAAGAAAATCCTGTTAGGAAGGTTGCCTGCTTTTCTAACACTATTTCAACTGATTTTTTTTAATCCCTTTTTTTTCTTTTCTTTCCGTCTCATCAGGGCCAGAATCCTTTCGACCTGGAATTCTCTCAGTCCACTCACCTGGAATCTGTCTTCAATTTTGAATGTTCCACTCGGCCCGGTGAGCTCCACTTTTGCCTTTGAGAAAGCAGTGGGTGGGACAGGGTGAAGCAGGAGGGAGCAGTTTATTTTCTCAGGGGACCATGTGAGAAACTGGGACTATTGGTCAGGGCTGAACCAGTAGGGTAGTGAAGGCATGCAGACCACTTAAGTAAATTGTGGGGGCGGAGGGGGAATAGCAGTCACGTTTAAAATAAAAGCAACCCACGTGGGCCCGGATAGAGGCAGCCAAAGGGCCAGATGTGGCCTGGGATGAAGGCTTGTTAAGAATGAATTTATGCATTCATCAAATTCATAGGGCTACCCAAAGTCTGGGTGGTGAACAAAAATACAAACATGAATTCCCCCAAATCCATGCCTCCTCCTCCCCCACTCCCAAAAGAACTGGGGTCTCCTTTCTGGTTTTTTTTGCATTCCAAAGTGATTCTGCTGTAATCCATTCAGGAGAAATTGGATCATTGTTCTATTTTTGCAGTTAGCATGTTGTTTCTGAGCCCTGGGGAAACGGGATGAAATCTGCCTATGGATAATCCTTGTTTTGCAATAGTTTGCTTGGTGACCGTTCGAAATTACAAGGGCCCTGAAGAAAGTGTCTTATGACTGTTTTTCACACTTACAACTGTTGCAGCATCCCCATGGTCAAAACCTGATCAAAATTCAGATGCTTGACAATTGGTTTACGACATTTGCAATGTTCCAGGGTCACCTTCTGAGAAGCAAAGTCAAGGGAAAAGCCAGATTCACTTTAACAGCTGTGTTCTTAACCTAAAACACCTGCAGTGATTCACGTAACAACGGTGGCAAGAAAAGGTGTAAAATGGGGCAAAACTCATTTAACAACTGCCTGTCGGCAACAGAAATTTGGGGCTCAACTGTGGTCATAAGGCGAGGACTGCCTGTATTGGGAATCGGTGTGTTGGATCATATGGCCAATCTAATCTTGATTCAGGTGGACTCCTGTTTGGCTCTGTGGTGAATGCTGATGAAACTGGACATCTATAAGCTTTGGACATGTGGTGGAATTAAGACCTTTACAAATGATGCTACGGCCGCACTCGTGGTTGATTCTCCTCTTTTCTGCAACTGTGAGAAAAGCTAGCCTGAGAAAGAAGCCCCTCCCCATGTCCTAGTTTTTGGGCAAAATGAAAGCTTGTGTTCAAGATCAGGCTTGCCTATAGTTGTAGCGTGTTAATTGCTTCTAGGTTCGAATGTTACCTTTATTGTAATGCTTCTTTCTTCTTTTTTTTAAAACGCCATATTTCTTGACAGATATGCCTTCGAGTCAGCCCATCGACATCCCAAATGCCAAGAAAAGAAACAAGAAGAAAAAACGCTGCCGAGCTACGGACAGTTTTTCAGGGAGGTTTGAAGGTGAGGTGAAACATAGCCAAGGCACTAGTCCACATTGTTAAGTTTCCAGGAAAGAGAAAAAGCCGGATGGCTCTACACCTCTTCTTGTAAAAATATTTTATTTTAAGCTTCAATATCGGCTCACAGACCCTCGAGGGTTATTGTCTTGATTCCTGTAGTAGAAGAGGAAGTTCATAAAGAGTATGTATTTTCTAATTTCCAAAATGGTTCACAAAGTAAAACACACAAATGATGTTCTGAAGAATCCAAAAAGAAACTAAAAGGAGGAACTGACAACTGGCAAAATAATGAAATCTATTTATGGGCCAGAAAAGAAACTGGGTTAATTTAAAATTCAACTCAAAGAACTGAAAAGAACAAGAACTTTTATTAACCTGTTTCAGTAAGCTAACTGGGAAAATCCGTATAGATCTTCTCTCATTTTCACTGGACTTGCTTGCTTGAAGACCAAATAGCGCTTCTGATTTCCATCTCTGGTTATATAAATACCCACCACACTGTTCCCTTTTGGAGTAAACAAGATAATGCAAAATTCAAAAAAAGAGGAAGAAATAGTAAAGGAATTAACGGCAGGGAATTTTAAAAAAAGTAAACATAAGTAAAAATTAGCGTACCCCAAGATCGTTTAGATCCATCCAGGCACAGTTTCCTCCATTTTTCTCTTTCTTTCAGCCCATTCAGTCTGTCTTTGTGTATTTGTTTTTGCAATTGAGTTCTCATTTGTTGTCTCTGTGATGTCAGTGTGCTTTCCAGTGGTCGTTCCCTTTTGTATTCAATCCAGTTAATTTGGAACTTACTCATCCTTGACCCTTTCTCGGTTGTATTTCAGCACCCCCCACCCACCCCCATGATAACCCATTCTCACCACATTCAGCTTATTTTCGTGCTTCTCCTGAGCTAACCCTACTTCCATGTGACAAAGTGAACAGAGCCATGCTCCGCATTCAGCCCTTTTCACTTAGTTTGGCAAAAAAAAATTCCTTGCCACAGGCTATAAACTGCCCACAACATCTCTACTAACATTTGCATGCTTAAGTTTCATTCAATTTCTCACAAACTTTGGGCCAGGGAGCCGAGATTCATCAACTTGTGCTAGTTCTTTTTTTTTTTTAAGATAGTTTATAATTTCATTTGCCCTATTAGACCCAGCTATTTTGATACATCAATCTTCAGATCATTCCTTGCTTGTTGCATAGTGCAAGGGTAACATTTTCAGGAAATGTCTATGTAGATTCTCAGTCATCCAGGTCACGGTTGTCCCAAAGGTGCTTTTTCAAGAGGCAACTGGACTTTCTGGTATTTTTCTTTGGAGACATTTCATTTCTCATCCAAGAAGCAGCTTCCTGGATGAGACACGAAACATCTCCAAAGAAAAAAAAACAGAAAGTCCAGTTGCCTCTTGAAAAAGCACCTTTGGGGTTTTCAGGAAATGTTCTCAAACAACAACACAACATCCCCATCTAGTTAACGTCTTAAGATCACAAGTACTTGTACAATAATCAGGCAAAGGGACATGACACTCCTTTGTCTTACTCCTTGCTTGATGTTGAGTCATTTGCTAAGCATCCTGCTGATTGTCACATTTTATTTCTATCCTATCTTACTACCTTCAGCAGCTAATCTTCCTGTTTGCACAAAACACTCCACTGTTCAATCCTATTCACCTCATCCAGGGGTGAGATTCGAATTTTTTAACAACCGGTTCTGTGGGTGTGGCTTAGTTGATGGGCGTGGCTTGGTCATGTTATTGGATGGGTATGGCCAGCCCAATATCACTCACATTGAGGCACGCTTCTTGCTTGGCCTCTCATGACTGTGGGGATGCTGCAACAGTCGTAAGTGTGAAAAATGGTCATAAGTCACTTTTTTCAGTGCCATTGTAATTTTGAATGATCACTCCACACAAGCAAAGTACCAGCAGAGGAGGAAAAAAAACCTTCAGAGACAGTCTTGAGACAGAAAGTCTAGTCCTGCCAAGAATGTAATAAGGGTTAATGGAGAGGCAGTTTCTGTAAGCAACACCAGAATGTTTCCTTCCTACCTTCCTTACAGGATTAGGCCAGTAATTACTTCTAACAACCGGTTCTCCGAACTGCTTAGAATGTTAACAACCGGTTCTAGCGAACAAGTGCGAACTGGTAGAATCCCACCCCTGACCTCATCATAACGTGGTTTCTGAATCACCAAACATGCAACATGGTGAGTCCTTGTTTAGCAACCATTGTTGGGACAAGCAGCTTGATTGTTAAGCAGAGCAGTCACTAAGTGAAACCACAACTATGCTTATGACCTTAATTCAGCTTTCCTTTGCTTACAGACCTGCAGAGGTTATAAATGTGAAGACGGGTCATAGATTTTTTTTTTTCATCATGGTTGTAACTGCGAAAGTTTGCTAAACAAAGACTCCTTGTAAATTGTCATTTTATATTTGTACATTTCTTAGCTTTGGCATATTTTGTTGTAGATGCAACTGGTGCTTGGTTATATCCCATTAGTCTATGCCAGGGTCTCTAAAATAGACATGCAACAAGCCGATGTACTACTGCTCTCAACTCATCAACTAGAAAGTGATATGAGAAGAATTAGCATGAGGTTCCTTGTATTAGGTGTGTTATCTTCAGCTTACACTGTTTTTCAATTTTGCGCCAGAACACACTCATTCATCATCTTTGTAAGCCTGTCTCTAGCTTGCCTGCTCATAGGAAGAATGAGTAGATGTGGTTGGCCTGTGCCATCAATATTTATACAGTCAGAGTCCACCTGGAGAATTGTTTCCAGGATAAACCTGAAGCAGGTTCATAGATGGGCAATCTGGATGATCGAGACGTATGTCCTAAGACAAGATATGGAAGGAATCAAGAATATTAGGCCTTAAAAAAAAAGAAGATCAAGAAACTATGTGGTAGCACACTTTGAAAGGAGAAACAGATGTTCTTTGTTGCGTAGAAGGTGGAAGTCATGGGTTAAGTTATGGGGATGAGGTGATTTTGGTTAAATGTAAGAATAAAGCTTCCCCTCATAGTTAAGGTAACTTTGGAATCGAACCATTTACTTCCCTGAATGTCTTTAAACAAAGATTGGAGAATAATCTTTGAAGAAGGTTTCATTAGGATTCTTGCATAGAACTGTGGGGTTGGATTTGTTGACTGATCCTATTAGATCGGTAGTGTTTAGAAACTCTTTGAGTGAAGCTGCGTTTGTTGAAACAAAACTTGAAACTGGAAGAACTTAGATGTGGGTGAACTCTGGAATAGTTTACTTTTGCATTTTCGGCCTTCTGTGGGTTTTCCCCCAGATCAGCAGATGTGCTGTCTGAACACTCTTTTGAAGTCTGATTTTGGAATATGCTTTCTCTCCCTCCCGTTCTCTTTCTGCTGCCACATCCAGATGTTTACCAGCTCCAAGAAGAGGTCCTCGGAGAAGGAGCACATGCAAAAGTCCAGGCCTGTGTTAACCTCATTACTAATAAGGAGTACGCAGTGAAGGTATGAACTCTCGGTTGTGGTGGCTTCTCTGAGGAAAGGGAATTCTGGGAAATAATTCAGTGTTGTTTCCCAAACACTGAAGCCAAAAAAGTGGAGCTGGAATCTGTCCGTGGAGGGAAGAATATCTGAATTTTGGTCTCCTGCAATAAGAGAATCCTGGTGCACTGTCGTCGGCAGACATGTTTTTGAGAAATGCTGTGCAGTTCTCTGGCATTGGAGAAAGTTTCTTGAGGATTGGGCAACACCGACATTCCTGTTTGAAACTATTTTGAGGAAAATGCTGAGGTGTTACAAATGCTGCGGCAGGCTTTGCAAATTTTGATTGAAGAGTAGAGCTGGGATTCGTAACTAGCTCCCAAACACTAGGCAATTTGCTTTGATCTTGGTAAACCCAGGTTCTTAACCTTAATCTAACTTTGTAAATTTAAAAAAAAAAAAAACTCCAGTTCCAGTCTGCCTATATCTGTATCACATCTACTGCTTGTTTGGAGGCTTCGGCTGATGCAAGCAAAAATGTGCACGAAGTCTTCTAATCAAATGACTGGAGATTTGGGAGGTAGTTGGTTTTTATCTGCCTTGCGTTAGTTAATCTTGCAGGATGGTTGAGAACATTTCAAAGAGATCAGCGTGGTGAAGAAGGTTTTAATAAAGATAGTATTTCTCTGAAATGGTAAATTGGTAAAGACAGTATTTCTCTGAAATGGTAAGTCCTGCTACCTAGAGGCTTCCTTCCTCAAACCTTGATTGCGTTATTTAAAATAGAGGTAGTCCTCAACTTACGAACACAGTTGAGCCCAAAATTTCTGTTGCTAAGTGAGACATTTTTAAAAAGTGAGTTTTGCCTCATTTTGCGCCCTTTTTTGCCTCAATTGTTAAGTGAACAGCTGATAAGTTACTAACCCGGTTGTTAAGTGAATCTGGCTTCCCCCATTGACTTTGCTTCTCAGAAGGCCTCAAAAGGGGATCACATGACTTTGGGCCATGGCAACGGTCATAAATAGGAGTCAGTTGCCAAGCATCTGAATTTTGATCACATTTTGATCATGGGGATGCTGCAAGAGTCATAACTCTGAAAAACAGCCATAAGCCACCTTTCTCAGTGCTGTCGTAACTTTGAATGGTCAGTAAAGGAACTGTTGTAAGTCAAGGACTACCTGTACATGCCAGCTGCCAGTCACCCCAATTTTGATCACAGGACCACAGTGATGTTGCAACAGTCATAAGTGTGAGAATCTGTCATAATTAACTTTTTTCAGTGCTGTAACTTCAAACAACAGCTAATCGAATGGCTGTAAGTTGAGGCCTACCTGTAATAGATGTTGCATTCCAGGTAGCAGCCCATTCCAGAAAATATTAAATTATCTTAGAACAGACATGGACCATGCTCCACCTGGTTGGGAAGCGGTGAAGACAGAATTATGCACAAGTTCCTTTAAATTTGTGGAAACCCAGTGTTGGTTGAACGAAGCTGCAAAAAAGGTTTCAGTAATTTATGCCAGTGTGAAGTGAAAGTCAGCTTGCAATGCTTAGCTGGATGTTGAAAAAGATTATTTGCAAGTAGAAAGTTAGTGCATTTTCCAGAACGCTAGCTGCTTACTTTCAGAAAGATGATACCCTTAAAAAAAAAAACCCAGTGTAGAGTTAGTAGAGTTTCTTTTCAATAATTACCACCATCTGTTGGAAATGTGGCTAATTGTCATTGCCAAGGCATCTCAGGATATTTATTCCATGATCTGGAAAATAAGGGTTGATTAGTCCTTCCAGAGTATATTTATTATTTATATTTATTGAAGCTGTTCAAGCATTAGGAAGATGCAAATACAATTTATGTGCAAGAGAGGTATACTTTACATATCAGCTGATTAGTTCCTCTGGTAATAACACGCCAGCCAGATAACTGCATGATTAGTAAGAATGAAACAGCTCTTCTGTTTCTAGCTTCTTTTGAAAGTCAGGCTGCTGCCCAAAATAAACAGGATGTCTGTCTTCTTGGTCTTTGAGAGAAATGATTAAGATTGTCTAATCCCTTCCTTTCCTCTGCCTCTCCATTTTTATTTTGCTTTTTAAAACCTGCTTGGGAAAACTGCCCCGTGACTCTTCTGCCTAAGATATTAACATAAAATCAAGCCTGCTTTTGAATTCTTAAATGAATAGCTGTATTTAGTCAGTTACAAATGGGGAACAAACAGGCTGTCACCACCAGTGCCAGACTAACCAAGAGACAATGAGAGAAACTTTTGGGGTCCAAAGCTGGTAATTTATTTAGATTTATTTGCCTCCCAAAGTCGCTTCAAAATGAGATGAGCAGCTGATAAATTTAATCAATAAAATAAATAAATTTGTTGGCCCTTGTCCCCAAACTAGCATCTTGCAGAAGGGCTTAAACTACAAATCCTATTGCACCGTACGGCAAGGAATGGTTCCAAGAAATGAATGTGTAAACATTAGGGTGCAGGACGGGGAAGAAGCTTTCTTATTAATTTTTTAAATTTACATGACCACAGACAGATTCCCAGTGGAACCAGTTCCCCAGAAAAGGGAGTGAGCTGCCCTGTGGTGGCTTATGTCTAGCCATCTGTTTGGGATACATTTATTCTTTTTTTTTGTTTTGAGCAGAGAATTGAATGCTCTATGAAAACGAAAATAAGGACTAAGGGTGACACTATAGCAATGTTCCAATATATCTCAGGGGCTGCCACAAAGAAGAGGGAGTCAAGCTATTCTCCAAAGCACCTGAAGGCAGGACAAGAAGCAATGGATGGAAACTAATCAAGGAGAGAAGCAACTTAGAACTAAGGAGGAATTTCTTGACATAATAATTAGTCAGTGGAACAACTTGCCCCCAGAAGTTGTGAACGCTCCCACATTGACGTTTTTAAGAAACTCTTCTTTAAGAAGAGATTGGACAACCATTTGTCTGCAATGGTAATAAGGTTTCTTGCCTGTGCAGGTGGTTGGACTAGAAGACCTCCAAGGTCCCTTCCAATTCTTGTTATTCTGTTATGACTCCTTCCAGCCATAAGATTCTGAGATGTATGTCTTTGGACCAAGATTCTTACAGCTCAATTCAGTATAAATTTCCTCACTTAATTTATGAAGGACTTAAATCTCTTTAAATCAGTTGTTTGGTAAATAAACTGCTTGATAAAAAATAAACAAAACAAGCAATCCACCCACCCACCCCCCAATTCCTCTGCGGCAGCTCTCTGTCAGAAGGCCTACATTTTAGTTTTCTGTTTAAAATTTCAGCTCTCTCTCTCAGCTGCCTCTCCCAGTTTGACCTTCTCTTTTCAAACCCAATTGTTCCTCCCCCCGCCTTCCCCCCCCCCCCCCCCCTTAATCCCTCCTGCCAGCATGTATTAAGGCAGGAAGAGTGACGCAGATGATCTAAAATGGGACAGGGAGAACCTGGCACCAGCCCGGTTGTGTGTGCGTGTGTGTGCGTGTGTTTGTGTTGTGCAGATGCCATGGCTTCGGGGAAGGGAGAAGAGGACAGTTGTAAATCTGATGGTGGAAAGAGAAGCCAAAAGGGTGGCGATGTTGAAAACCCTCCCAGACCAGAGGGAGGAGAACGCAGCTGCTGCACACTGCGTTCCTGTCTCTCTGGGGAGTGTGGCTTCTTTTTTTTTTTTCCTTTCTTTTCTTTTCTTTCTTTCTTTTTTTTTTTCTTTTTAAGTTGGCAGACGGCGAGAAACAACAGCTCTTTCATTCGTCACTGCTGGCTGTAAAGTGGCAATTTGGGGAGCAGAGAAGTGTGGGGCCCCTGTGAACAATCCATTTTCCACCCTTTTGCTGTTCGAGGTTCATGCCCACCCATTTGCACATTGTTGCAGTTACAAAGGGGTAGGCTGGTGAAAAAAAAAACTTTTGGGAGAAAGGCAGAAAGAAAAGAAAGAAAGGAGGAAAGAAAGAGGAGGAAAGGATTGAGGGAAGAAGAGGGAAGGAGGAAGGAAGGAAAGGAAAAGAAGGAAATAAGGAAGGGAAGAGAAGAAAGGAACAAAAAGAGGAAGGAAGAAGGAAAGGAAAGTGAAGGAAGGAAGGAAGCAAAGGAAGGGGGAAAGAAAGAAAAAAGAGAAAGATCAGTTGCTCACAGAACAGCTGGAGAATCCCTTCCCTGCCTGTCCTGAATACCTCATTGAGGTTACCGTTGTTATTGTGCAAGGCTGGGGGAGCACAGAGACTTACATGCCTGAACCCCCAAACTCTTTTGAATACAGTTTCACAGGTGGAATCTTGCCATTCTGAGTCAGAAGGCCCAATTTGTTTTACAGATTGCAAAAGGCTAAAGGGATTAGGAAGGGGGAAAGAGGGCATGAGAATTGCAAGGAGAGAAAGCATCCAGGCTTGGGGGATGGTTTAACTCGCCCTTCAGCTGTATACTTTAAATAGACAAGCTTGGGTTTTTAAAAATTACCAGTTTTTTTTTTTAAAAAAGGCCTTTTCTTCATTGGGTATAAAGTGGAATAAAGAAACAACAGCCTATTTGTGTTTGCAGGAGAGTATTGGGGTGTTTATGAGATTGGGTTGGCTTTAATGCTATCTTGTAAATGCCTCCATAAACATTATCTCCAGCGCCTGTTGTACTTTGCTCGTGTTTCATACAAGATCATAGAGCATAATAGCTGATACCACCACCACCCTCCCCCCATGGAATATGACTTCAGATCAGCCCTGCCCCACCCCGGGGAAAATTTGAAGAGCAGTTGGAGGGAGCCAAGTTTGAGAAGCGTTGTGTGCTTGGTGTCAAAATCGTTGCTCATTTTATTTGTTGAAAGAAACAAAGTTTTGCCTGCAGAATATTTGCTTCATCTTGGTGTTGTTGTAACTGTAGCCTTTCCCTTATTTCTTTTTTTCTTTGAAAGATAATTGAGAAGCGCCTTGGACACATCCGAAATCGGGTATTTCGAGAAGTGGAAATGCTGTACCAGTGCCAAGGACACAGGTAGTGGGCAGTTTTAAGCTTGATCTTTGCTATATCTAGATGGTATCCAGGTTGTATTAATTGTCAGCGTTCCAGAAAACCTCCTCTCCAACAAATAACTCCGAGACGGACATCCTCTCAAAAGTTCTTTTTTATTTGGGTAGTAAACTGGCACATCTGGGAAATCCCGAATCTGAAAATTCTGGGTTTCCTTGTAATAAATTAAAAAAAAATACAAATCCAGCCCCTGCACCCATCATCTCATCACATGCCCCAATCACCATCTGTCCCAACTTGAGACGTCCTCTCAACCAGGTGCAGAAATAACATGACCTTGACTTAGAAGAAGAATGCTATTATGTCAAACCACATATCCTCCAAGATATTCCCCCCTCCCATTTTTCCAGGCTCAAGAAAGTGGCAGTGTGGAAGCGTCTGGTGCTACTATGGCTTCCAAAGCTGACATTAATGCTGACTGCAGTAATCAGGTGGTCCTCAGCTTAGGACCACCAACGGAGCCCAAAATTTCTGTTGCTGAGACATTTGTTAAGTGGGGGGTTGTCTCATTTTATGAACCTTTTTTGTCATAGCTGTTAAGTGAATCACTGCAGTTATTAAATTAATAACACGGTTGTTAAGTGAATTGGGCTTCCCCATTGACTTTGCTCGTCAGGAGGTCACAAAAGGGGATCACATGACATCCCCCCCAAAGACACTGCAACCGTCATAAATATGAGTCAGTTGCCAAGTGACTGAATTTTGATCATGTGACTGTGAGGGTGCCGTGACGGCCATAAATGTGAAAAACAGCCACAAGTCACTTTTTTTTCAGTGCCATTGTAATTTCGAACGATCACTAAACGAGCTGGATTACCTGTAAATCGGTTGAAAGTAATCCTTGACATGACCACAATGGAGCCTAACATTTCTGTTGCTAAGCAACATAGTTGCTAAGTGAGCTGTGCCTCATTTTATGACCTTTTATTACCGCAGCTGTTACGCAAATCACTGTGGTTGTTAAGTCAATCCTGCAGTTGTTAAGTTAAATCTGGCTACTCCCATTGACCTTGCTTGTTGAAATCTGGCTGGGAAGGTTATGAATGGGGATCAATGGGGATGCTGCAGTGGTTGTGTATAGGTAAACAGTCCTAAGTCACTTTTTTTCAGTGCCAATGTAACTTTGGTCACTAAAGGAAAGAATGTAAGTAGAGGATTACCTGAACTTCCATATCAAGGGACACTCTACCTCTGAATATTAGTTCCAGGGAAAGGAAAGTCTGGACTTCGTTCTCTGCATTGTGGTTGTGTGAGAAGTGTTTTGCCTGCCGTGAAGGAAAATATGGGTAGATCAGAGGCCTCAAAACTTGACAACTTTAAGACTTGTGGACTTCAACTTCCAGAATTCTCCAGCCAGCTATGAATGAAAATGAAATGGATTTAATTTCTTTCTCTTACCTGTCTCTTCTTATCCCTAATTATTGTCCCCGCCCTCCCCTGTCTTTTTTCAGGAACATCCTGGAGTTGATCGAGTTTTTTGAAGAAGAGGACCGGTTCTACCTCGTGTTTGAGAAGATGAGAGGAGGTGAGTCACTGACCAAATGAATGGCTTTTGTAGGTGGGAGAGGGAGAGAGAGAGAGAGAGCTTCTTATTTTTAAAGCCTCGTTTTTTCCAATTTAAGGAGGGGAAAAAAAACATAAATTGTACATGTTATAATTGTCCATATATAATTACATCGGGGCTGTCCAGTCTTGACAATTTTAAGACCTGTGGACTTCAACTCCCAGAATTCTCTAGCCAGCATAGCTGGCTGGGGAATTCTGGGAGTTGAAGTCCACAGGTCTTAAAATTGCCAAAGTTGGACACATCTGATTTGCATCTTTAAGCTTCAGATCTTAGTCCATGGCTTAATTGGGCCTTTCAATGTCTCTTTTCAGGCTCCATCTTAACCCATATCCACCGTCGACGCCATTTCAATGAACTAGAGGCCAGCATGGTGGTGCACGACATAGCCAGTGCCCTTAATTTCTTGCACAATAAAGGTGGGTAAAAAATGAATGCTGGGGGCAAGGTATTTTTTGTTTTGTTTTCCAAAGCATTCCATGGTGCAACTTAAGTCTCTTTGCAATCCAATAAGCCAAGGGTCCTTGGTTAACTTTAGCACCTATGGACTTCAATTCCAAGAATTCCTGTGGACTTCAACTCCCAGAATTCTAGGAGTTGACGTCCACAAGTCTTAAAAGCTGTCAAGGTTGAACACCCCTGCACTAAGCTATTGTTTCTCAACCAAGTATGGTGGATGAGGAATTCTGGGAGTTGATGTCCATACACACATCTTCAAGGTCCTAAGGTTGAGAAACACTATACTGAGTACATCTCACTGCTGCAGTAAATCTCAAGCTATCTGCATTGGCCTGTCATCTTTTTCACACTGTATTACTACAACATTTATGATGTCCAGGAATCTGCTAAGGCCTGATCTGGGCACTTTTCCATAATATGCCTTTTCCTCTTCTCTTATCCTATCTGTAAATACGTATGTTTTAGTTGGGGAAATATTTGCAGAAATGCAATGAAACCCAGGCTTATCTGGTTGCTTTAGACCAGGGGTCGCCAACCTTTTGGACCTCAGGGACCACCAAACTCATAATTTTAGATCCCTGGGACCACTAACCAGCTCTGTGGGCGTGGCCTAATTTGTGGGTGTGGCTTGGTGGTCATGTGACTGGCTGGGCATGGCTTGTATATAAATATTGATTTTTTTAATTAAAAAAGAGCAACTTTTACCCAAAATCAGGCAAAGCAGGCAGATTGAGTTGCTCACAGAATCATTCGGTGATCTATCTATCTGCCATCAGCTAGCTCAGTCTCTCAAATTTGCTTGCCATGAGTCTGCACTGAATTTGCTTGCAAGCAAACCTTCAGTCCTAAGGGAGGTTCGGCTGTGCTGAGCCGAAGATCTAAAGACTAGCTAGAAAGCAAGAAATCCAACCATTTCCTGCTTCCTAGTTAATCTAAATCTCCTAGCACAGCAGAACAGATGATGGTCGGAAAAAGGAAAAATAGCAATTTAGCAGGCAAGTTTACCGAGTAAGGAGTGAGTATGCAGGCCATGTGGGTGGCGCAGCCTTGTGTTTCGGCACAGCCTGGATTAATTGCTTTGTCGGGGTGCTCTGGGGGCGAGATTTCTCTGCGGCCCACCAAAATTTTCTCACAGCCCATCAGTGGGCTGCGGCCCACCAGTTAGCGATTGCTGCTTTAGACCATAATTAATACTTCTTAAGTAATTATTAGCTCTTTCCTTTAGTACAAGCAGTTGGGAAGCAGAGGCCTCTGGTTGAATACTCAGATAAGGAGATTTCCTTGCGTGAAGTAGATTTAGCAGAACTCCTTCACAAGGGCCATCAACTTAAGATGGCTTTCAAAGTTTATAGAGAGCATCATTTAGGGCCAAGAACTCTGAAGGACTGTTTTCTCTTAATGTCATCTGTCCAACTAACCAAATCATCAATGGGTGACAACTTTAGACTCTATACTGTTAGACCTCAACTACTATTAGATCTAGTGTTAGCTAATAGTCATGTGATAGGGATCATTCTCTATGCCGGTTTCCAAATTTGAAAATTCCTGTCTCTCAAAATTGTTGTGGCCTCTTTCTCTGACATCATTTTGCTATGCTATTTTTTTATTTTATTTAAATGAGCATATCAGCTGAGCTTAATGTTGATGTCTTAATCTATTTTTAAGATATATTTTTTAAAGTTTACATTAATAGTAAACTACATTAGATGCAGTGGTGGTATTCTACCAGCTCGGCCCGGTTCTGGCGAGCTGGTAGCACCGATGAGCAGTGGAGACCAAAACGGCTTTCTCCAACGCTCTGCTGTTTGGCTCACCCACCCGCCTGGGCTCCCATACTAACCTTTATGTCCTGCTTTTGAAGCGCAGCTGCTTTGTGCGGCACAGCAGATTGTCTCACAGCAGCTGCTGAAGCGACAGAGTGCAGGCTTGTAGAAGGCGAGTTGGAAAGCCTCTGCACATGCGCAAAGTATGTATTTGGTGCGCATGTGCAAAGTGTGTGCATGCACGCAAAGCGCGCCCACCAAGCCACACCCACCGAACCAGTGGTAAAAATATGTGAAATGCACCACTGATGGATGTTGCTGTCACTAATAAGATGGGATATAAATATTTTAATAAGAGTTGCTTGGGCTCTGTCACCTAAACCAGGAGTCTCCAATCCCTGAGCTGCGGCCCAATACAGTTCCCAACCCACTATAGGCCGCAGCCTATTTGGAACTGGGCCACGCAAGCGATAGGCTGACACATCACACAGCTCCACTCGCATGAGTGGTACCCAAAGGCTCCCCCCGCCCACAAGCTGGGCCCCCAAACCACCTGCTCCCCATGTTCCAAAAACCAAGCGGTGAGAACAGAGGCTGACTGGGAGGAGCGCGCCTTCCTCAGCTTCTCGGAGGCTGCCTGCACAGGACATCCGATCCGCTTTTGGAGCATCGGGCAGCCTCAGTGAGCCTGAAGGAACACGAGACCATGCCCCCAACGGCTTCTCTTCTCTGCACCGGCTTTTGAAAATGGACGAAAGGCTTTGGGGGGAGGGATCTTGTGCTGCTTCAGGCCTTCAGTCCCTTTGGAAAAGCTTTTGGCACGGAGGAGCCTGAAGGAGTGTGAAACCCTGCCGCCAAAAACTTCTCACTTGCATAGGTAGAGCTGCGTTTGCTGGCCCGCCACTCGTGTGGCCTAGTTCCCCTCTACCTCCTCCCCCCTCCCCAAAAGGCGGGCTGCCAAGCCGCAAAGGTTGAGGACTACTGACCTAAACTAATAAATGAACCGTTTATGCACTGGAGAGAACTGTTGGGAGTATTCAGTTCCACATGAGGAAGAGACAATTGGGAGACCTTTTAATTACATGTACTCTTTGCTTCCCAAGTAGCTTTCTGAAAGGGATCTGGAATAAAACAAGGGACAGGACCCTTCTGGCTTCTCTAAACATTAGGTGCTAAGGGTGTTTGGGCTGACCATGGTTTGATGCTTGGTTAGGTGGACTTACGGCTTCCTTTAGCATGATCAGATTACACAACTTGGCTCAACTTTTCCATTGTCTTTTCTACTCCGGCAGCTGCTTGGTCATGTTCTTCCAGTCAAAAGCAGAAAGTATTAACTGCTAATGTTAAGCTTCTTTCTTTTTTTTATTACAGGAATAGCACATAGAGATTTAAAACCAGAAAATATTCTCTGTGAGAGTTCAAATCAGGTGAGCAGTAGTTTAATTGCTCCTTGGTTAGTTCCCAGTCTCTGAGGGGGGGGTCATGTGTGCTGCAAGATAGGGAGGTTGAAGGAACTTGCTGATGCAAGATGCTTTTGATAAGTGGGCTAATAAAGCACAAACACGAACTGTTTAGATTGTGCATAACAAAGCAGGGATTGAATTTATGACAGAATGTCAAATTCTAATCAGCATGGAGTTTTCATCCAAAGAAATGACCTTCCCCCACTCATTCTCCCCCTTTGCCCCCAACACCAGGTGTCCCCAGTGAAAATCTGTGATTTCGATTTAGGAAGTGGGATCAAGCTGAACGGTGATTGTTCTCCCATCTCCACCCCAGAGCTTCTCACTCCGGTAAGTGGTCCCTCCCCAAGAATAAATGTATTTCATAGAATCATAGGGGTCCGGGAGGAAGGGAGGGAGGGAAGGAAGGACGGACATTGATCACCCAATAAAATAGATCCAAGTGGATGCTTTAAAAACTCAAACCTTTCCCTAGTCTGGAGGCCTCATTTTGGGGAAATTGCTTTTACAACGTGTATATTGTTTTTATGGGATTTGCTACTAAAGGCATAATAGGTTTTGAATTGAGATTCAGGTGATTCCTCAAAATCAGTTACTCAATCAATAGGTATAAGGCACGTTCAGTATTTAGATTTTATTTAGCAGCATCTCTAAGTAATACCTGCGGTGGCGCAGTGGTTAGAATGCAGTACTGCAGGCTATTCTGCTGACTGCCAGCTGAGTGCATTGGCAGTTCAAATCTCACTAGGTTCATGGTTGACTTGGCCTTCCATCCTTCCAAGGTGGGTAAAATGAGGACCCAGAATATTGGGGGCAATTTGCTGACTCTGTAAACTGTTTAGAGAGGGCTGTAAAAGCACTATGAAGCAGTATATGTCTGGATGCTTATTGCTGTTGCTACCTCATCCCAGTAAGGGAGGAGGACAAAGCATCTGTCTTGGGAATTCTGAAGGCATCTGAGCACTCATGGATGCTAGATTTACAGATCTTTGTAGATTCCACCATCCCTTTATAGGCTTGATGTGATAATTGATGGTTACCTGGGTAGAAAGAATCTCTGGGATTTAGTATGAACTGTGTTGTAAAACAGGGCAAAATTCACTTAAATGCCTCACTTAACAACATAAATTTTGGGCTCAATTGTGGTCGTAAATCGAGGACTACCTGTATGATCTACCCTGAGATAATGTCTCCCTTTTTGCATAGCAACCCATCCTTTTGCACTATCCTTTTGAAGTTGTTGCTTAGAATCTCTTTAATTTGTAGAGGAACATTGGAGACTATTTTTCATGCAGCCGTCAAGTTGCAGCTAGACTTTTCATGGAAAATTCTACCTAGTAAAACCTGCTAGATTTTTTTTTTTAATCTTTAATCTTTGTAGGAAACCGTTTTATTGCTGATAATCTGCTTTCAATGCAGAGGCGCTATAGGGAAATACTTTGCATCTTTCCTCTCCCATGATATAGGTAGCCAAAATTTATACCCAGCCACACTCAAGGAACTGTTGCATGACTAAGTAGAGAAAAGATTGAAGCAATAAGAGCAGCACATCGTGACTTTCTTGCCCTGTAGTAAGACATTTTGATGACCCTGCGCCTAGAAAACTCTTCAGCCAGTCTATAGAATTTTAGTGATGCTATTTCCAAATATTTTTCATATTGTTTAGAGCCAGAGAATGCGTGCAAACGTTGTGCATTTCAGCTAAGTTTGTGTTGTCAATTAGAGTTGGCATTATTAATCCTAATGAAGATTACCTTATTAACCCTCTGTCTGATCTTGTCGTTTAATCTCTGATACTTTTTCTTAACCTGCAAACTTTGTCCCAACCTCCCTGTTTCCTTCGAGATGTGCGGCACTGAGGGGAGGCTCTGCGGAAGGATAGTAACTGATTCTAAGGTGTCCTTCCATAGATTGCTTCCCAAAGTATACAGGTTGCAATACTTTGGTAATCTTTTCAGGGTTTGAAAGCTAAGTAGGATCCAGCTTGGTTAGTATTTGGAGGGGATGTGATTTCGGAATGTGATTTATTTATTTTTTTGGTAGCCTATTGCCATATGGATTTAGAATTTAGCTCATTTTCAAGCAGAAGTTCTTCATGTATTATTTTGTTTGAGGTTTTTTTGCTGCTGGCATTTAATTTTATGTTCATTGTTCCAGCCGGTAAGTGAGTAGCTGGATAAATCAATATTTAAAATTAGAGAATGTTTTACAGGATTAAAAAGGTAAAGGTTCCTCTTGCACATGCATGCTAGTCGTTTCTGGCTCATGGGGGCGGTGCTCTTCTCCGTTACAAAGCCGAAGAGCCAGCGCTGTCTGAAGACATCTCCCTGGTCATGTGGCCGGCATGACTAAACGCCAAAGGCGCACGGAACGCTATTATCTTCCCACCAAAGTGGTCCCTATTTTTCTACTTGCATTTTTACATGCTTTCGAACTGCTAGGTTGGTAGAAGCTGGGATGAATAACGGGAGCTCACTCCGTTACGCGGCACTAGGGATTCGAACCGCCGAACCGCTGACCTTTCTGATCGACAAGCTCAGCGTCTTAGCCACTGAGCCACCACGTCCCTTTATATGATTGTGTTATAATTAAAGTTAGAAAAATTGTTTTGTTTTTTTGGGGAGATAGTGTGCTCCATCACGAGAGGTTACAGGAAAAGACTGGAGAGCCATTTGTCCAGAATGGTATGAGGATTCCTCCCTTGGGCAGGAGGGTTGGACTAAAAGACCATCAAGGTCCTTTGAATTTTACCCCATTTTGATCCTTCTTGTGGTAGTTCTTAGTTGAATCACTGCAGCTTTTAAATTAGGAACACAGTTAAATGAATCTGGCTTACCTTTGCTTGACTGGCTCTGTTTCTGACTTGTCAGAAGGTCACAAAAATGACCCTGGGACACTGCAACTGTCATAAATATGAGTCAGTTGCCAAGCATCTGAATTTTGATTACTGACCATGGAGAGGCTTCAGTGGTGGTGTGAAAAACCTTCTTAAGTCACTTCTTTAGTGCTATTGCAACTTTGAATAGTTCACTAAACAAACCGTTGTAATTCAGGGACTACCTGTACTATGAAGGGAATTTTAAAAAAAACACTTATCATGCCAAAGAAAGCATTTGACTGTGAAGCCAAATCAGGCTCTACTCAAAGCAGACTTGCCTTTCCTTAAACTGAGATTACCAAGCCAGGCATAAAATGGATTGCACCCATTATCTTAGGATGTAAAATGATGGTCAGTTTCATACCACAGTCACAAACAGCTGGATTCCCCAATACAGATAATCCTTGATTTAAAATGGTAATGGAGTCTGCTCATTATGGTTGTAATTCACAACTGTCATAAAGCGAGTCGTTCATTTTAGGACCTTTTGGGTTGTCTTAAAGCAGGGCCCCCAAAGTTGGCAACTTTAAGACTTGTGGACTTCAACTCCCAGAATTCTGGGAGTTGGAAGTCCACAAGTCTTAAAGTTGCCAACTTTGGAGACCTCTGTCTTAAAGCAAACTCATGGTTTGCTGTGGCCCATTGTTGCTGAAAATCAGAAGTAATTATAGACCAGGTGCTGAGCGCTTGACATACAGCCATACGACTGCAGGGATGGGGGGTGGAGGACCGTCGTAACTTTGAATAGTTGCTAAGCAGCCAGTCGTAAGTCAAGGACTGCCTCTCCATTGAACCACAAACTCCTAAACCGCATTCATAGTGTAAAAACCAGACAGGGAGTTAAATCCATACATTCTCTATTCTGGTGTTTTAACCCAGTTTTTTTTCCCCTACCCCCCCAATAGCATCTCCTTTCTTAGTAACCTTTTTTCAGCATCCTCATATGAAATGGGTGTGTGGGAATCCCACCTGCAGCAGAGTTTTCCTACAGGGGAGGTCAAAAAATGCAAGATGGTGTTTGTGACAGAGAGAACAAACCGTGCCCTAAGTCTTCCTCGGATCGCAAACTGTAAAATATCCTGCCTCCGTGGTGGATCGAGCTGCGGTCTTGTGTCCTAGTTTCACTTGACTGGCTTTGTTTCTGGAAGTTTGCATAGAAATGCTTTTAAACACACACACACACACACACACACGCACGCGCACACACGTGCACACACACACACACACACACACACCAGCCTTTCTGAACACGGCTGCCTGGTCTATCCGGGACTCCTTTCTGTGCTAAGGTTGATAATTCTCCCCGTTTGTGTACTGAGGATGTTCACCCTTAGCCAAGGCCAGACTGATGGACCGGCAGAGATTTAATGAGATTCTGCCCTCCATCTCTCTCATCCCTCCCTCCTCCCTCTCCACAGATGTGGGAGTCAAAGAAGCTTGCTTAAAGTGGGTCAGCAGAGGCTTGCCTATGGGGTGATGGGAGGAGCAAGGTAAAAGTTGGAGATGTGGCTGTAATTTGGCATCTTTATTGTGTAGCCAGGCTGACCCATCTGTCTTGATGGGCAGGTTTGACCACGGTTGAGGTTATACTTGTGTGAGTTGGGTGTGTTTGTATTCATGCATCTGGTTGGACACGGTCTTGCCTTTCTATACCACTCAAAGGAAGTGGCTTTCTTCCTTTTGTGTTCTCTTCCTCCCTTATGACCCAGAGGTATCTAGACAAACAAAAGCCACTCTCTTAATTTTTAATGGTCTTTAATTTTAACTCTAGGTGTTTGGGGCGTTTGATTCTTTCTGGGAATAATATTCCCCTCTCTACATAAGCATATTCACAGATGGATGGACTTTGCTGCTGCAAATGCGAGGAGAGAGGTGTTTAATTTGAATTTTCTGCAGTTTCTTTCTCTTTCTCCATCCCCCCCCCCTGCCGCCCCTAGTTATAATAATCCCAGGAAGACCCATAGAGAGATTTGTGAACTCTATGCCCTTCTCATTCAGTGCAAAGCAATAAAAAAGAGGAGTTTTGAGTCTTCTTTCTCATCTATTTTGTATTCCTCAGATTTTATTTTTCCTCCCATAGTAGCAGAGATCTTGAAGAATGAGTGGGAACCCAGACAGTCTGGGTTGTTTTCTGACCAGAACTAGGACAAAAACTGTTTTTAAATCTGTTTTAGGCTTATGTTAGGTTTTGTTTTTGTCTCGAGTTTTGCTAAACCTCGGAAGCAGGGCTCTCCGACCTTGGGAACTTTAAGCCTGGCGGACTTCAACTCCCACAATTCCCCAGCCAACTTTGGAATTCTGGGAGTTGAAGTCCTCCAGGCTTAAAGTTGCCAAGGCCGGAGACCCCTCCTCTGAAGAGGCCTGCTGGGTTAAAGGATACGTAGTGTTCTCTCTTGTTGCCCTGCAGGCACTGCTTAGCTGGGAACTCGAACACAATACCAGGCCACAGCTC